GTCCCCTTACCTAGACCGGCCGCTTGGCAGATGGTGTACATGTCCCGGCGGGAGGCCTGCTTGAGCTCCGGCCCCTTCTGCTCTTCGTCCTCTCCATCCTCTCCCTCGCCTGGAAGGAGAAACAGGCCGGTCACATTCCAGCTGGGCAATGCCAAGAACGTAAGGGGCCCTTCAGGCATGGAACACAGCAGCGCTCTATGGTAAGGCCTCCTGGGAGAGGGGAAGTCGGCAGGAAAGGGGCAGAGAGGGCACCCCAGGCAAGCCGAAGGGCAGAGGGGTGACCTCCCCCCCCTTTGGGCAACTGACTCACTCTCTCTCTCTATGCTCATCAAACCTCTTTCTCTCTCTTCATCTGTCTATCTGTCTGTCTGTCTATCTATTTTTTCTCTCATGTCTGTCTGTCTATCATCCATCCATCATCTATAATCTATGTCCATCAAACCTTTCTCTATCTCTCTCTCTCTATCATCTACAGTATCTATCTTTCTCTCATGTCTATCATCCATCCATCCATCATCTATCCTCTCTAATCTATGTCCATCAAACCTTTCTCTATCTATATCTATATCTACCTACCTACCTACCTACCTACCTATCTCTGTCATGTCTATCTTTCTCTCATGTCTAACATCCATCCATCCATCATCTATCTATCCTCTCTCTAATTTATGTCCATCAAACCTTTATCTATCTATCTATCTATCTATCTATCTATCTATCTATCTATCTATCTATCTATCTATCTATCTATCTATCTATCATTTGTCTCTTTCTCTCATGTCTATTATCCATCCATCCTTTCTCTCATGTCTGTCTCTATCCATCCATCCATATCTACCTACCTACCTACCTCTCTCTCTATTTCTATCTACCTACCTAATTCTTTCTATCGATCTATCTATCTATCTATCTATCTATCTATCTATCTATCTATCTATCTATCTATCTATCTATCTATCTATCTATCTATCATCTATCTATCTATCTATCTATCTATCTATCTATCATCTATCTATCTATCTATCTATCTATCTATCTATCTATCTATCTATCTATCTATCTATCTATCTAATATCTATCACCTATTTTATCTATCCATCCGTCATCTATCTATTATCTGTCTAACTTTGGGACCACCCACCTCCCGCGCAGAGGGACTCAGGGTGGTGTGCAATAAAATCAAGACACAAAGACTCTAGGGGTTAAATTTCAGAAAGAGGCAAGACTGGCTGAAAAGCGCTGAAACCTAAGTGCCAAGGCGAAGGAGGGAGGGCTCTCCCAGCGCTAACCTACCCCGCAGACTCCTGCTCTTCCCAAGCAAGGCCGGGGCTGAGCCAGGGCTTCCGGGGGCAGGAGGGTGGGAGGCCTCCTCATCTCCAGGAGGAGAAGGTGCCACGGGGTGGGGGCCACTGCAGGGACCGCCCCCTCCCAGGGCCCTGCCAGTCAGAATTAAACTTTAACTGACAGGAGCCGCAGCAGACCGCCCCTGCCTGGTGGGTGGGGGAGGTTAGGGTTGATGTAGAGCAGTGTTTCTCAACCTTGACAATTTTAAGGCATGTGGACTTCAACTCCCAGAATTCCACAGCCAGCATTGCTGGCTGTGGAATTCTGGGAGTTGAAGTCCACATGCCTTAAAATTGTCAAGGTTGAGAAACACTGATATAGAGGGACACAGACAGCTCCCTCCCTCCCTCCCGGCCACTGGCCTTCGCACAGCCCTGATTCCATCTGCCTGACCCCCGGGGCCTTCAGCACAGGAGCATGGAACAGGAGTCCTCATGCACGATCTGGCAGGCAGGCAGGCGGGTGCAGCTGTGCCGAGGGGCAAAGACCCCCCCCTTAGAAGCCCGGAAGGCGGGCAGGGGCAGACCTTCCTCCTCCTCGCCATCCTCCCGCAGCCGCTTGTGTTTCTTGCGGCTGGCCTTGGCGGCGTTCTGCATCTTGGGGATGTCTCGGCCGTAGTAGAGCAGGAAGTGGTTGTAGACGTCCTTCAGCTCGTCCATCGACTGCACGTCCTTCAGCCTGCAAGGAGAGCAGCTTCCAGGAGGGAGGAACGGGGGGGGGGGGGGGAGGAGGCACCCCAAAAGGAGGCTGCCTGGAGCCCCTCAGGCGAGAGGTTGTGCCCAGGAGGGGGGAAAGTGAGGGGTCCTCGGTACTCTCTGAGCTGGGTGGCTTTCTTGCAAAGGTTTTGGCATCCAAACTAGGGAACGTCAGCGGTAGCACTGATGACGTTCCCTAGTTGGGTCGTGAAACGTCTGCAAGGAAGCCACCCAGCTCAGAGACACCAAGGACCCCACAGTTCTCCCCCTCCTACTCCTCTTCCTTCCTCTCTCCTTCTTCCTCTTCCTCTTCCCCTTCCTCCTCCTCCTCCTCTCTGCAAACCCCATTCCCTTCCAGCACTGATGTCATCCCCTAGTTGGGTCATGAAACGTCTGCAAGAAAGCCACCCAGCTCAGAGAGCACCAAGGACCCCACAATTCTCCTCCTCCTTCTCTTCCACCCCCTCCTCTCTGCAACCCCCCCTGCCTCTAGCACTGATGATATTCCCTAGTTTGGTAATGAAACGTCTGCAAGAAAGCCACCCAGCTC